CCCCCCCCCCCCCCCATTAAATTCAATGTGAAGCTTGAAAGGTTTGTATAAATAATATCTGGAGTTTGTAGATTTGTCCTAAGTGTGAAACTTACCCTTTGTGAGAAAGTAAATGGAGAAGAACTTTTCAATTTTCCTACTTTCAAGGGTGAATGATTCTAATCTATCTGACCTACCAGAAACTTAAGAAGAGATCTGATGAGTATATGTGTGTGTGCGTGCATACACTTATATGTATGGGGAAAAAAAAAAGTACATATCCAGAGATATGAATACACCATTATATTTATATTCATCTATGTACATAGTGTGTGTGTATACACACACTATACTAAAATACAAAACCACTGGCTTTCTATATCCAAACGGGGTGATGTTGATCAAATTTGATTCACAAGCAACTATGGTGAATTTCATTCAGAGACTCTTCAATTTAAACAAAAGTCTTCCAAATGCATGAACTTATCTATGTTTGTGTGTGACAAAAAAAAAAGAGAGCTCTTCTTTGTTAAACATTTGCCATGTTAAGCTATTAATGCTAGAATTAAGCAAACAAAAAAGGACAACATTCTGATTACCTAATTTGCTGATTTACTTAATGGTTTTACCAGGTTAATTGGATTTCGTTAATCTCTTTAGAATGAATTTTTCTATCTGTGTTCCCTTGAGGACTTTCCTTGCAAAGGAAGAAAAAGCCTGAGAGCTTTAGTACTCTGCCATTTTTGTTTCACATTAAAATAAATTTCTGAGTCTCTAGAGGGAACATTACCTCCAGCTACTTACTCCATATGCACTTGCAAAGAAAAATATGGCAGTACTTAAAAAGCAACATTCTGGTGAATATCTGAGATTTACATATGAATACTCAGATATTTTCTCTCCTAAGCACCATAAAATCTCATCAGTCATTTCTTAAACGTTCTGAATGCTGCTGTTTGCTGCTCTTTCAAAACTCTGAACACTGTCTTTAAGGACCCTCCATCACTGCCTGTTCAACTGAAGCAGATTCTGGGAAGGCTGAAAGGAAGTAGTTTAGAGCAACAAAGAACTTGAAACAACCCAGGCAAATCATTCTTCTTTCTGCTTAATTTAAAGCTATTTAAATGGAAGTTTTTTGTCTGTTCAGGTCTCACAAAAGCAAATCCACCTGACTGGATGCAGGTTGGACCCAGGTCTGAAGGACCGAGCCTTCAGCGTGAAGCCTACCTCCTCACCGCACCAACCCTGATCCCGCTGCTCTGGCAGCTTCTCTAAGGAGTGACACAAAGCAACAAAAGAGTGGCAGCCTGACTGACAAAGCAGCTCGCACACAGAGCTGCTAGTAGCCGGCAGCTCCGGGC